GTTTGTTTTGCACTGTTTACTACTGTGTGTATAATACATGTATGTTAATAAAGGATAACTTGTATAGTAGCGATGATATCTCTGAGTCTCATCAGTTTTCCAAGTTTTCTTGTTCAAGTTTTGCATTTGTTTTTTTTTGTTTTTTTTTCGATGAAATTGATTATGGATTTTGATAACCAAGCGCTTGGTTCGAGCCACTGTTCAACCGATGATCGAGTATAATCGATGATCGTGACCCTTGACCCACTACCTTTGACCCTTGACCCCCAAATTGGTCATCGCGAGTCATTTTTACAACCCTCCCCCCCCCTGGACGTCCCGAATATCGAGACCGTACGTCGAGCGGTTAAGATTTGTGCCCAACTGTTGACGGACGGACGGACGCACGCTCATGCGATTCTACAAGCTGCATCGGACTTCGTTAGATGAGCTAAAAACATCAAATATTTAACCACCGCACTCACTATGTTTACATAATGGCATCGCTCAACTTGGGGCCGTGACGTCACATGACCTAGATTACTATTTTGGGGCCCGTTGTCAGAAACATCGTAAAGTTAATGCTAATGTTAATGCTAAGATAACACTTACGACTAATCAGTCTAATGTTAATGTTACGAGAGGAGCATTGATAGAAACACATCGCTGCTATTAGAAAATTTACGATAACAGGAACTGCATAATTTGATGTCTCAAGGCTGCTGATTGGATGAGAATCGATCACAAAATTCAAATTCATACACATTTATTGTGCATCACAGTAATTTATGCATATTATGATGGCTAACCACATATAAATAATATTTGATGAAAAACGACACGGTCTTGAATTTATTCTGCACAACAAGACAAATCTCACGCTGTAACACGAGACGCGAGAGTCGCGGTGGTCAGTACAAAAGTATTTAAAACAAGAGAACAAATGGCCTACACCATTTGTAAATGTTTTGACACTTTTGTTTTGCTTCACGATCGGTAGATAATTAATGTTTTTGACGTGTTTTTCAAGAAAAACACATGATATTACTCATTAATATAAAATATAATATCACTGTAATTGTAATTCTTATAGTCTAAATGTGTTATTTTCATCTTAATATTAAAGTTACGAGAGGGTCTGGGCTCTCGTAATGTTAAGAGGATATTTGCGAGGATTTTTCGTTCTCGTAACATTACGATGTTTCTGTCAACAGTTAACGAGTGGAAGTTAATGTTAAGACTAATGTTAAGACTAATTTTGTTTCTGACAATGGGCCCCAGCTAGGTGTTTATTACTAATTGGGCGCCGGATTGGAAATGGAATAGGTCATTGAATGTATTTATCTGTATAAAAACGTTACAGAAGTTAGAAAATTTGACTTCAATTGTCCTTTAATTGTAACTAGTATTAAATAATTTTAGTAAACAAGAAACCCAACTGTTCGACAAAAAAAATAAAATATATATAAACTTGTGTCTGGTCTACATTAAATGCATACACTACAGATTGTATATTTAGACAATGGAATTAAATTGCAAAACAAAGTCCCACATGTACATGGCGAAACGATAGTAAGGACCTTGGCTTAACTTTTGTTGTTCTACTCATACAAAAACCTATAAATGGGAACCATAGAAATACTCGACATATTCCAGAACAACTGCCCGAGGAAAATTTTAAAAGTACGTTGGCCAAATGTTGTCAGTAACGAAGAACCAAACAGCAACAACACAGCGACATGGTGAGCAGAGAGACGCTGGTGGAAATGGATAAGCCACATGCTACGCAAGGAGAGGGACGACCACTGCTGCACAGCCCTGACCTGGGTGCCCGCAGGAAGATGGAATGTTGGACGGCCGAAAACAACATGGAATAGGACGGTGGAGACAGAGCGAAACCAGCTGGGGTGGAAGTCATGGGAGGAAGCACGAACAACCGCCACCGACAAGAAAAGTCCGAAACTTCGGACATCGGTCCTATGCGCCACCAGGCGCGTAGCGAATACGGAATAGTAATAGAAATACATATGATAAACAGCAAATATTATAGTTAGATAAACATTCTTAATAATAGGCTACATACTTCTTGCAAAGGTAAATGAATAATATATCCACTCACATTAACATCGTACATTCCTGACGGTGCTATATAAGTAACAGTTCCTTTAGACCTTGGAGGAAGCATGATCTTGTGTCTGATGAGAGTATTCTCATGAACAACTCCGTAAATATCTCCACCAGTTATATGACTTCCAACCTGCAACACAATTTGAAAATGAAAAAAACAGAGCTAGAGAAATGGCCACAAGGTTTACAGTGTTTTTAATTTACATGTGTATTTATTTTTACATTTTAGAGTTAATTCCCCAGGAGTTAAACAGTATACTTCCAAGACCTACAAAAACAATATGTGATATGCATAAATGCTCATGTACATACATGCACAGGTCTACACATTATCGAGCACAATTGGAAGCAATGACTCGCCCACCCACTCACTTAGTTGCTCACCAACTCATTCACTTATTCCTTCACTCTTTCACTATCACTCATTCATTCACACATGCACACACCACATTCAAGCTCATGCACTCGCATGAGCACTTTCAAATACACAAGTGCTGTGGAAGTTGTAAGCATGGGATATATTTCAAATAAATTTTGTTGAGCACAATACCTTCACATTTATCGGATCAAAGTTCCATTTCTTTGTTCTGTCAAGAGCCGTCGTAGTGACTCCTTTCGGAATGTAGATGCTGTCGGTCAGTATGCCAATTTCTCTCAAAGGACGCTGAATACCATCAAAAATGCTATCCATGATACCAGGCCCTAGCTCAACGGATAAAGGCTTGCCAGTTCTTAACACTGGGTCACCGACAGTTACCCCGGCTGATCAAGCAGTTAAAGATGATTTATTAACTTGATTCTCACAACTAAACAACATTCAAATTTAAAATGAGTAATACTTACAACTAGAGAAATAACACTACAAGTTTTTAATGTTATGGCCTTTCAATTAATTAATGATTAATTGATACCTGGATTTTGCAAGGGCAGTTAAACTCCGTACATGCAAAATTTTGGCCGGCAAGAGAAAACCAAATACTTTGTATAAACTGTAAAAGTGCATAATATTATCGATAGACTATATAATTTCATCTGATATCCTAGTGCTGTGACTAAATAATCACAGAACAGCACAAACCATTTATTATGAAACAGCCAGTCATGAGAGCAAACAAACCAAGAGTTGTACACAGATTAAGCAGCCATTATAGCCTATACAGATAGTAGGGCAGAAGCAGCACAGATTCACTCTGCAGAGCTAGAGTGCTATAGTACGTACGAACATGTCAAAATAGCATGACCCAAGATCTAATCACCCCTACGCCTACACACAAACGCAGCACAGAATCTACACACGCCGCGTCCGTGTATCTTCTGCCGCAACTTGTGAAGGATACAGGTTTCTTCATACACCTGCACAGTGGCCATGTCGCCTTCCAGACGGATGATCTCTCCGACTAGCTCATTGTGGCCCACGCGCACTAGCTCATACATGGCCGAGCCAGACATGTTCTGTGCCGTGACAACTGCAAGCAAAACAATGCGACGCCGAGTTAACACTTGATGCACATTTGGATTGCGTCCAAAGGCAGGCAATGATCACTGTTTGGATTCACATCACAATTAATTTATTCACGAGACCAGTGTGTACTGTGTAACCAACACACCCTTGGATTTTTATTATGATCATATTTTATTATCTCATATTATGAAAGCAGATTCACACAGCAACTCGCCCATTGCTATTGATTAACATTGATGATCGAATGATTTATGACAATCACTGATTATATAAAAATTGGAATCCCTTAATTATTCTTTATGTGAATAATCAATATACTCTCAATATTGATATTACCAGGAAATCTCACTAACTTACCTGGGCCAGACACAGCATACACAAAGCCAAAAATGGCCTCCCTCTCCTCATCTCTGATTTTTGGTAAATCCTTTGGGCCTGACTGTAAGACAATAACAGTAAGATTTAATGACACTTGTAGATTTCAACATATAAATGCAGACATACCCACAATAACATCACACCGCTGTATTACAAATACATGTCTTGAGATTTCATCAACTAATAATGAGCAATAGGAAGTCCAATTTAACGTCTGCAAATGTAGAATTGTTGATGCACACAACTTTTAAGCACATTACTCTGATAATATATTCAGCTTAGAAGTGGGGAATCACATTTTAAACTTCTTAAACTTACACTTTTAACTGCGGAGGTAAGTGTATATATTCACACTATTGCTGATTAGTGGTGTAACGGTTAAATGCGGTTAACCGAAAACCGCGGTTTTTGCGCCACCATTCGGATATTCGAACCGTCGTTCCGTTTTCGGCTCGGTTTCGGTTCCACATTTTATATATACCCGATATATACGCTTTTGAGATACGCGCACTGCGATTGGCTGGTCGTAAACTCTCGGCCAATCAGCGAGCAGATAACATTGATAGACCACTTGCTACATGCCACGAGAAGGTCAACGCGTTCATTTTGTCTGCAAAAATGACAACTTATGTTGAATGCCCCGCCGGCCTCCCTACAGATGCTAAGGTATTATACACCAGTCTGAATTATTAAATTTGCACTTCTGTTTGGTTTTTATAAGATTTGTAATTGTCGCAGAATAATTCGAACTGAAAATAACCGAACCAAATGTGAAAACCCCGACCGAAAACCGAACGCGAACCGTGAAAGTTGTGATTCGTTGCACCCCCTTAAAATTGCTTGATCAGGGTCTACTGTCCCCATGGTACTGCCAGAAAGGCGGTACCCTGGTAACTATTAGCTGATATGGTTAGGGTTAGGGAGTAGGCGTAGCGACTCCCTAAACTCGTTAGTGGAGTAGGCGAGGTAAGGTCCCGTCATACTTAGATAGATAGTATTTCAGTACCGCAGGGTACGTTCTGGTATACCGACCGTACCCAGGGTATCGTTTCCGGTCAGTACCCTGGGGTGACAGTAGACCGGCTATCAGCCACACTATTATATTGAGAGTCTTCTAATAACTGATAGTAGTGGGCATAATTAATAGATATATTTGTTCCGGAAGCAGACAGGTATTCGAAACATAACAATACGTGTAAACGTAGTTCTACATGCCCACTGGGACATGTTACACAGTGCACTTCATCAGCTTATATAAATAATATAGTAGGAACGATTAGTACGAGACATACTACTGAATGTAGAGTGCAGGACTATAATAATAAACTAACCCATACTATACTCATACCCAGTAGCTTACAACTGTCATAACATAATTTATAAAGTAGCATGAACCTATTGAGCATGATGCCTATAAAATATTAATATAACTATAAATATAATTTTATGACCTAAAAAATGACAGTCATACTCATTCATGAATCATGAATCATACTCCTAAGCCCCCAAAATTGAGTCAACACCGCAATTGGCCTTTTAGCAATTTATGGAGTGAATAGTTTACAGCCATATAGCCTACTGGATATTATCGTGACATTGAATTCTACTTGGCAGCTATTCACTACACTGTATCTACCAACGCCTCCGGTGCAAATACATGTTTACGCACACTTCGTACGCAAAATGCATTTTGATTACATAGGCGTGCACCAAACAACCCAAAAGTTCAGACATGGCACGTTCACTCATTCGTGAGCTCAGCTGCTTCAGAAAATATGACATGCAAGATTTTGAACACTGAAACATGCACGAATATATCTATCATCACAGTGACTAACCAACTAACACTTTCTAAGACGCGATTGTTTGTAACTTACCATTTTATTACGGAGAAGCTGAAAATGGAAGTTCGCCACCAATCACCAGTTCACGCTCAACAGGAGAAATAGATACGTAATACCCCTGCAACGATGTGTTGGATGCCTTCAACGTACATTGAAAAATTTGCGCGCTGTTTGATCACTGAGCTTATAATACCATCTATAAATAATAATATATAATAAATAATAACTAACTATCTAATAATAATCTATATAATTATAATATAATAACTATATATCAATTATAAATATTAATATAACTAACTAATATAATATAATATAACTATATAACTATCTATAATCATATATATTATAATAACTAACTACTAATAATAATAATTAATAATAATAATATAATAATATAATTATATTATAGAGATCAGTGGTCTGATCCTATGGTCTGATCCACTCATAGAAATCATAGTATCAGGAGTCTATCAATATTGAAAACACTATTTTAAAATTTTTTTTAAATTAGACTCCCTCAGATGCGCTTTCTGCGCGAACAGGGGGGTCCGGTGTAGCGCGAAATTCGCACTCGTCAGATATTTCGCGCGACACCGGACCCCCTGGACCCCCCTCCTTGTACACGCCCCTGGCAGTGCCTAAATCTGAAAATAAAAACGTTAAATGACGCGGTGTAACGTCATCACTCGCCCACATCTCAGACTTTCACATCTCAAACATTTATTTTTACATACAACATTAAACATTATCAAGAGTATATAATGGGAGTTCTCTCATATATACGCTTCGTTTCTATAATGTACGTCGATGGAAACTGACTTCTTCTCACTCACTCATTTGTGTCATTTTTTTGTGGTGAGCTACAGTGTCATTGACACTTTCATTAGTTTATGGTTGAGGGAAGCCCAAAGTTTCACACCTCGATATTTGGTAGTGTTTTTAATCCATGCGATGTAGAAAAACGGGAAGATGTAATTGGATATAGAAATTCTTGTATAGTGAAATAGGGATCTTCAGTTGTTTTTGGTAAATACGTCGCCTCCAGTGCGACTACCCCACCAGCGGTAAAATCATTGCCGGTAGTGACGTCTAGTGATTAAATTTAACATGAATTTGGGCCAATATCCAAAGAGATAGTATATCGTATAAGTTTTAACTAAGTTATGCTTTGATTATAAAAGTGGAGAGGCCGAGGACCATTTAGTAGCAAAATAATCAGTATTGGATAATCTTATTCTGTCCTGTGTTATCTGGTTTGAGCTCAGATTTTGAAGCTCAGATCCCCGACTGAAGATAGCGCATAATTGGTAAGTATAAAAATAAGCAAGTGCGTAATATACTGTTAATAAAGACTGATTGTCAACATAATATCGTAATATAGATTCCTATCAAGTATCAAATATCATAATAGATACCTATGGTTATTTATTTCTATTTCTATGGATCCACTCATCTCTATAATAAAATCTTTATTATAGAGATCAGTGGTCTGATTCACTGATCTCTGTTGTTGATGTTGTTATGTTTTGTGATTATTTTGTATAGAGATCAGTGAATAATCGCCCCTGGGAATTTATTCCCCTACCGGGAATTATTCTAACCGATACCCGATTATCAAACACATAAAACACCAAGAGCTATATAGTTATAGGAAAGCTATATATATATATATATCAGGGCCGTAGTGGCCTCCCAAAAAGTACCACTGCAGAAATATGTAGCCGATGCTGGAGTTCTGGGGGTACTCCCCCAGAAAAATTTTGAAAATGTAGGCCTGGAATGGCATTTCCTGCATTTTCAGGCTCTGCTGAAAGCAACCAATTCTTGTCCTTTTAAATGGTCAATTTGTAAATTTCAAAAAGGATGTAGCTAAAGCTGATGTTTTTGACTAAATCTATAATCTAAAATGATATATTATGAGTATGATAACTAATAAAACATTATTATTTAAAAACAAAAATTGGTTTTTAAATATACTATCAGTACCGAAGGTTATAAAAATAAAGCCGTATTTTCAATCTGGCATTTATACTTTCACTATGTACAATCTGAGTGTTCATTCGCAATATCAAATTCAAATATGCCAGTCGTTATATCAAGAGTAGATAATATAACACTAACATATGTGTTATCAGGGCCGTAGTGGCCGCGCACGGCAGCACGCACGCGTGGCACTTATTTTGAAAAAAAAAATTCTGCAGGGGAACAAGGGAGCAACATATACCAATTTTAGGAGATTGAACCCCGCGGTGGGGGGACTCACCCCACATTATGGTAGGTGATGTGGCCACTCGCGAAACGTCAAAAATGCGGGGGGGCTCTGGAACTAACCAGACCTGAAAATGGGGGGTCTCTGCAACTAATATGTTGTGTGAATGTGTATATGCTTGGAAACTGGCTTTATGTTTCGAAATGGGGGTTTTCCAAGAACTAGGATTTCATTGAAATCAATGCTATGGCACTGGACATGTTTAAAGGAGGGGGTCTCCGGAACTGTGGGGGGAACCAGTGATTTGCTGTAGCACTTGCTGATTTGCTGATTTGCTGATTTGCTGATTTGCTGTAGCACTTTTTCTATGCTGTAGCACTTGAACAATAAATTGTTAATTATGTAGAAGAGAAAAACATGACCCAGGAGAGAGATATGAATGCACGGCACCACGCACATATACACACACACACACACAGACAACACACGCACGTACGCATACATATAACACACACACGTTGCATGCATGCCTTGACGGCCCGCGCTTTAACGTATCTGAAGTAGCGATGCACTGGAACGGAAATAATTAAAAACTAGGGTCTCCGCAACGGCAAAAATGTAAGATCTGCATGGTAAACTAAACTTAATGCTCTGGAAGACGAGATATTTCTTAAAAATGCGATGCACTGGAACGGAAGTTTTAGGGTTAGGGTTGAAAATGGGGGTCTCTCCCGCGCACATACCTGACTATGCAATATAATATGGAGTGCCCACCCCGACCAGCACGACCCAGTTAAGGCTCAACAATGCAATGCTCATGCATGTGCACCGAGACATGTTAGACAAGGTAGGTGAACAGGATGTAATTTCAGAATTTGTAAGTTGCCATCCAGGCAGAAAAGACAAAATTGGAATAATAAAAAATAAAATGACAAGTTATCTGACTGGACTGTCTGGTATTACTATTAATACTGATCAATTAGAGGTGTTATATCAGTGCCTCTAAGATTTGGAATGAGTATTTAATATGACAATGTGCCTATCAAATTCAAACTTCAAAACATACAGATGTACATAGTGAAGAGTATAAATGGCAGATTGAAAATAGGCTTATTTTCATAATTATGTAACTGATAGTATATACAATTTGTTAAATAATGTTTTATTAGTATCATAACTCATAATATATATTTTAGATACTTTAGTCAAAACATCAGCTTTAGCTACATTCCTCTTTGAAATTTACAAATTGACCTTTTAAAAGGATCAGAATTGGTTGCTTTCAACATAACAGGAAATGCCATTTCCAGGCTCTACATTAAAAAAATTTTCGGGGGGAGTACCCCCAGACCCCCCGCATCGGATACATATTTCTGCAGTGGCACTTTTTGAAAGGTCACTACGGCCCTGGTTATTATCTACTCTTGGTATTAAACCGTATTATACAGGTGAATGAATTGCCATGAATATTTGTTTCGTGACATCATATGCGTGCCCGTATTAAAGATACGTTGCCAACAAAATATTTCCGGGCAAGCCTTAAACTAGCTGTAGTAGCTTACTATAGCCTGCGTACAGTTGCCGCAGGTCTGCGGCAACTGTACGCGGGCTAGAGTACTAGAGCTACCCTTAAACAAACTTGCACATGAAAATAAACATACATATGTTTGCTGTATTATTTTTTAAGCTAGCATGCACTGAGTTAAAGTGGAATATGCTTTCTTACATTTAACGATAATGTGTAGTCTATATATATATATATACGGTCGATAGAAACAGATAGGAAACTTTGGATTCTTTGCCATACATTTATATGCACATGCGTTTTGCGTGCGTGCGTGCGTGCGTGCGTGCGTGCGTGCGTGCGTGTCTGTGTGTGTGCGTGCGTGCGTGCGTGCGTACGTGCTTGCATGCATGTTTGTGTAGGGGGCAGTGGGGTGTGGGGGATTCGGTGTGGGTACGAGATGATTGATGGTGAACCAATGGATATATCCATGGATGGACGGACGATAGATGGACCGACGGACGGATCGATGGGAGCATATGTTGCGCGTGGTCTTCTTCTTCTCATTATCCTCTTCCCTTCTAAGTTCTAATCATCAACCTCCTTCTTTTCTTCCTATTCTTCCGCATCCTCTTCCTCCTCTTCTTGCTCCTGCTCCTCCTCCTCCTCATCATCCTCCTTCTCCTCCTCCTCTTCCTTCTCCCCTTGTGTAGATATATATATACACCATCATATATTTTCCACCAACACTGTAAATCTTACATTTTAATTTCCGCCTTCGTTTTCATATTTTTTTGTTTTATCTTACTTACATAAATTTTTCTCTTATAAAAGAATGGATGGATAAATGTCTGGATTGATTGATAGATTCTTCTTCTTTTTCTTCTTCTTCTTCTTCTTCTTCTTTTTCTTGTTCTTCTTCGTCTTTTAATTCTTCTTCTTATTTCGTTCATTATCCCCATTAATGACAATGTTTATGATCGAGTTCTATAGTTACTTGGTTTGTTACTCGTTTACGTTTATACGAAATAGTTTTGCTTATATTTGTGATTTTAAAATATTTTATGACGAATGTTAGACTGCTTTCTTACGCAAAATATGTTGTAAGTGAAGTACCGACATATCCAGCGCTATGTCCGTTTCATAGCTATATCATTCAGTGTGATGTCTGCGGTGGAGCCATCCTCACTTCATCATGGCGCCCCGATTGACGCAGCAAAAGTCGCGTGATGTCCTATCTAGTGTATATATAATACCAGGAGTAGATAATAGTCCCTATTATCTACTCCTGATAATACGTATATCGGTATATGGTCCGTTTGCAGATGAACTTTGATTTCCGTCTCGGGCCAATGAAACTGCCCGTT